TCCCGGATATATTGGACTATCTTTACCATTTGGTTTGAAATATCAGCATCCAAGGGACGTCTTACGCTCCTTGTTAGTGTAAAGGCTGTGGAACATGACTTAATAAAATTGTGTATGACAATTGTGTATGACACACCGCACAAAAAAACATCTTGACAAATAAACTATTGTTAGTGAAAATATGAATAAGTTTGTAGACCAAGGAAGATTTGCCCGTTTTTTTTATTATTATAAACTATGACAAAATTCAAACAAATTCCAAAATCTGATAGCTGTTGTTTCTGCCTTTTAAATGAGGTTTGTATCATCAAAAAATATTAAATTTTAGCAGAGTTATTAAACAGTTTGTTCTATCAATCAATGATACGCTTATAAAATCTATCTCCGGAGCGTTGACCTGGAGTGAAAATTTAGAGATCTTCGAGGCGTAATATCTGAAAAACTACTATTTCTACATAAAAAATAAGGACCATTTTTATAGATAATTACCTAAGCCTCATTTTTTTATTCAATTGGGGTAATTTTTTCGGCCCGGTAATTTTTAGTACAGGGCAACGGTACGACCAATAATGACGTACACTGCAGAAACTCGACCTGATACAGCGAAAACTAAACAACTACTAGAAACAACCGAAATGAGAGTACTACGCAGAATAGCTGGAAAGACGCTTCTGGACAGGGAGAGAAATGAAAGCATAAGAAGAGCGTGCAAGGTGGAAAATGTAAATGAGTGGGTACTCAGCAGAAAGGAAGAATGGAACGTCTATATCAGCAGAATGGACAACAGAAAGATAGTGAGAGTTGCACGCAACAAATCACCGCTAGGTCGCAGAAGCTTAGGACGTCCACGAAAACGATGGAGCGACAACTTGTCAGTCTGACCGGTAGAGACGACGAAACCAAACAGGCGATTCGCCTAGTATGAAGAAGGGAGAAGAAGAAGAAGTAATTTTTAGCACGGTGTTACAATTTTTTCCCCTAAAACTACTCCCTAAAAGGTATACAATCCGCCTAAAAAGTAATGGTCGATGAATTACGCCGAGACTTGGGTCTTTTCCCGTCCTTATTTACTAGTCTAATAATGCTATTACTTAATTTACCGCTATGTATTATATTGCAGGTATAACACATATTCATAGCTATTTTATTATAAATATGTATAATCAAAATAATACTGACCGATTAAATATGACTAACCTTTGAGTATGTTTATATTATTCTCTCAATAAGCTCCAAACTAAGTGAACTCTTTAGGTAACATACATATTTTAATAATATTATGTTATATTAAAAATAGGACTCAAACTAAATTACAGCTTTATTAAAAAAATATATCTCCGCAGAGCTTACTAAATTTTTAACAAAAAAGAGCACATATTATATATGTGTGCTTCTTTAAATATAAAAACTGACATTTTTATATAGTCAATGTTTTATTTCTTTATATTATAAAAGTGAATCCCCCTTCTATATGTTGTTTAATTCAAGATATCATTTTTATATATCTTTTTAGTATTTAGTTTTTCTTTTAGTATTAGTTTTTTTTTGTTTATAAAAAAGGTAATCGTGTGGATTCTTTTGATTTGCCAAAAGCAACTAACTGTATATTTTAGGGACACTTATATTTAAGACTTTAGATTTAAATTTGAGACCTGATCTATTATTATTAACAATACTTATAGACTACGATTATTTCGAGTGTTTCAAGCAAACTCCACTTAAAGCAGGCTTTAATCTGGGTCCTAATCTGCAACCGTTTATTTCACATTAATTGCAGGAAGATTTGATCAATATTATATTCCATTCCAAACAAGCTTCATTCAAGCCGATCTCAATTCAAGCGCGATTTAAAAAAATCAAGCGTATATGTTAATATCGGTATTTGAAGCCAGCTTACATATTCAAGCGTGTTTAAAACACTCGAAATAAACGTGGCCATACAGGGTATTCCAGGCTGAGCGTGCATTAGAAGTTTCCAGAGAACTACAATATCTAGATCGTAGATTTTTTACACATCATTGTTTCACATTGAGATCTATCGTAGTTGGCAGCAACTTTCTTATTTTAAATGGATACTCTTATTTTTTATTATGTACTTAAATTCTCTGTAAAGTTTTATGAGATTGATATCTAACACTATATATCTAACCGTTTTAGAGAAAAAAAATATTACAAATTTTTGGAGAAATAATACTGCCTGTCAAAAAAAATTGTGTAACCTAAACCTCAAATTTAGTGACTACCACAGCCACTGTGACACAAAGAGAAGACATCTGGCTATCTATTTCAAAAATTAAATTGTTTGAATGTCATATAGTATTGGCCGTAGCTGACATGGAATTGAGAGATTCAAAATTATCATAAATATTTTTTTTTCAAATGGAAATCTACTTTTTTTTATAATAAAATATGGGGTACCCATTTAAAATATGAAATTTGCTCTAAACAAGTGCCGCAATATTGAAAATATTTTTAGTTGATAGATCTCATTGTGAAACAATGATGTGCAAAAAATCTCCAATCTAGTTCTATAGGAACCAATGCACGCTCAGCCTGATGGGAGACACTGTACTGCACCAGTGTTGCATTCTGAAATACATTTCAGTAAATCCGAAAATCTCACTAATTGTATTGACATAGTTGTCTTGGGTTACTAACTATATCGGATTTATTCTTTTAGTTCGTTTATATTAAGTAAAAGTTTGTATTAATTAATGATAAAGAATATTTATTCTTTAAAGCCTAGTATTTATTTAAAGGGGACAACATATAAATAATGTATGTGTAGATAACTGTGATATTTTATGTTTTGATATACGTATTTTACCTAGCTGTAAATTATCTACTAACCGGCTATAACAATTAACGTAAAACGAGTTTTTTCTAAAGAAACGTAAAGTAAATGTAGCTTTTTATGTAACTGTAAAATCTAGATAACAGTATGTTTTGTAATTTTATTCTATACGAAATATAGTAGTATTATATTAAATAATAAATTTCTATTGAATTTTTATTTCAAAATGGTATATGAATAACGGTTATTTAACAACAACACAACTTAAGGTATTAATTTTAATGTCTCTTAGTAATTGGAGTGGCAAGTCTTTTAGATGGTTACGTACATACATAGCCAAAATTATTGCATATATCGTTTAAAAAAATACGGAAACGAATTTAAAGAATCTTTTTTTATACATAGCTTTGATAATCTGTAATAAACATTTTTTTGTTAAAATGGATATGGTAAACAATGTTTATCGTTCAGACCCAATATTATTACAAATTCTGGCACATTTAAATTTGTGGTCTCTTGGGTTTCAGAAGAAATTTGACTATTGTTTTGGCCTTAAAATGTCTAGAAACATTATTTCACAGTTTAATAGAGTCAGAATAGTAACACTGTCTCAACAGGGCTACCAGCAAGTTGCAATAGCTGAAATTGTAGGAGTTAACCAAAGCGATGTTTCGCAAATATTAAAAAAACTCTGGGAGACAAACGAGGTTACAGACCGGCCTGGAAGAGGTAGAAAGAGAGTTACTACTGCTGTGCAAGACCGTCAAATATCCCTAATTGCACGACCCAATCCCCTGCTTTCTAGTACTGCTAATAAAAATGAGTTAGCTCGCCTTGACGGAGTAAATGTCTCAAGAAAAACCATAGCAAGAAGACTCCATAACAGAGGATTACATTTAAGGAGGCCTCTACGTGTTCCGAAGCTTAATTTACAGCACAAAATTACGCCACTATAATGGGCTGAGGAGATGAGAGCAAACGGACCTAATTGGAATTTCGTCATATTTAGTGATGAAACAAGAATAGACCTTGTGTGTGACTCACAACTTTGGTTTGGAGAGCATCTGGAAGACGAGCACGCTTGAATGCAGCTCAACCCCGTGTCCCATTTCAAGGGGGAAGCATTATGATATGGGTAGGTATAATGCACGGAGCTCGAACTCCTCTTGTTTTTATTGATGACACAATGACAGGTGCCTCATATCTTAGAGACGCTTTAGAGCCTAGTATGCGTCTATTTCTAGGGGCAGTGGGGGATGAATTTGTTTACATGGACGATAATGCTACTCCTCATCGCACTTTAGCGGTTCGCGAATTTTGTGAGGAAGAGGGTATAAGGAAAACTGTGGTGGCCACCGATGTCTCCAGATATGAATGTGATCGAGCATGCTTGGGACATGCTAAAACGCCATATTGCGAACAGGAATGATCTTCCCGTACTCTTAAAATGAATTGAAAAATGCTGCGCGCGAAACATGGGAAGCCATTCCTCAACATCTTCTGGACAACTTAATTGAGAGCATGCCATATCGTCTCACAGCTTGCATTGAGGCTCGAGGAGGCAATACAGACTATTAGTTGTTAGAAATAATTAAAATTGTTTTCAATATTTTTTGTTTAAAATAAAAAAATTTTGTTGATTTTCACTCATTATGAAATAAAATTATAATAACAACCTAGTTGCACTTAGATTTTTAATTTTATATTAGTTAGTCGTGTAGTAAGTCAATATGTCCAAAAATATAAAAAGAATCATATTCGGTCCAAAATAAAATAAAAATATCGTTATATGCAATAATTTTGGCCATGTGTATATTTACCTATATTGTTAATTAATTCTATAATATTACTGAAATTATATAGATTGAATCGATACCTTTAAAAAGTCTCTTATAAAAGATTTCACTCAACTTAAGTTCATAGTGTACATAATTAAATGTTATACAGAGCACTCATTGAAATTACTATATTTAATAAAAACAAACACAAAAAATAGCAGTCGTTTCTCAAGGTAACTTCTCTTAGATAATTAATGGTGGTCCATTTGTCCGTCAAATAATTATGTAGTCGTAATAAATTTAAAACATACTATCTAAGGACTCCAATAAACATGTTTATACATCGTCTGGTCAATTTGCAGATATAGTGCTACGAGGTACAACCTTTCTTGAACGAGTTCGTTAAAATAAAAAAAGAACTCTCTTACCGAATCTGCATATTCCTGTTGATGCAGCTGTGTTGTTGATCCAGATCGAGATTCTCCAGGACTTGAGTGTCTCCTGCTTCCAACCGCATGTTCTTCATCTCCACTAACAAAATCCTGAAAAAAACAAACATTATCTTGTTAAAAATGGCAGATAATAGTGAATTATGTTATAAAATTATCTTGTTGGAATTATTATATGATTATCTTTAATGTTGAAATACATATACAGGGTATTTCAAAAAACATGTGCCATCTCTCGTGGGGAGCTTCCTCGCGTAAAAATAAGATTTATTTTTCATATCAACATAGGTCCAATTCTGCTTTGTTTCGCTATAGGGTTTTACATTCTTAATATTTTTTCGATTTATTATAATTTTCTTCCAAGTACTTTTAGCGTTTTGAATGGAATTTTCAGGGTAAAAGTTATTATAAATACGACATATCTTAATGCTAAAAAAGTGTCGACCAGGGATCTATTATGTTATCACTGGACCAGGATATATTAGGTTATCACTGGGATATTTTTCTAAAAAAGTAATGTAAGCCAATGACTTTTTTCTCTTGTTAGCGAAATAGTATAAAAGTAGTTTAATGCCGATTAAAAGTTGTCTCTTGATTTTTCCTTGATTGAGGTAAACGCAATTTTATTAATTTGCCTTGATCCAAGTCTAATCATTAACTTGCGAAAGTTCTAAATAAGTATTCATTGCTTTATCATAAAAAAATATAAAAAAAAGTTCCTATAAACTTGGGTATGGAAATGCATAGTTTTAGAGTTACTGGATGTTAAAACTTTTGAAAATTAGGTTTTTTGTAATTATTTTAAATACCATTATTCTTTTTGAAATTGCTGTAGGTTGGACTAATAGTAATAATAAATGAGGTAAAATATATAATTTATTAATTTTATTTTTATTTTAATTTTATTAACTGTTATTAATAAAATTGCGTTTATCTCATCAAGGAGGCCTAATTCGACAAAATATCAAGAGATTAATTGGCATTAAACGGCCTATACAATTTTGATATCAAAAGAAAAAAGCTCGGAAAAAAGTCAGTGGCGCACATGTTTTTTTTTCGAAAAGTATTCCAGTGATAACCCATATGCACGTCCCTGACGAATTAGTAGCACTTATTACTTAGTACTTGGAAGAAAATTACAATAAATCGAACGTCACATTGAAATACCCTGTATACGAAGTATTGACTTTTATATACTTATTAGTAATCATTATCAAGTAAAACTCCACTAAGATTCACTATCGCTAATCCTTGATAACTAGACATCAGAAAAATGTGTCAACAAGTGAAATAAAAAATGTATATTATGGGACTCTATGCAGAACATGCATGCAACCAACGCAAAATACCGCTGTGTTAAGCCAAAATAATTAACAAATGCTGCACTGATTTAGGAGGAAATTCAGAGACATGCATAGTCAGTCTTGAGAATGAGTGTAAAAAAGCAGCCTAAATCAGTTGACAGTACAGTGATTTTGTCATGCACCAGTTGATTTTACATATACATTAAATAGTCTGGAGAACTGGACCTCGAGACTTGTATTTAAGAAATAGCTCTAGAGATGTTTCTGTAGTTTTTAATTGATATTAATATATATATATATATATACTTTTAATATATATATATATATATATATATATATATATATATATATATATATATATATATATATATATATATATATATATATATATATATATATATATATATATATATATATATATATATATATATATATATATATATATATATATATATATATATATATATATATATATATATATATATATATATTATATATATATATATATATATATATATATATATATATATATATATATATATATATATATATATATATATATATATATATATATATATATATATATATATATATATATATATATATATATATATATATATTAGTAGATTATATACCGGGTGCGTGTCAAAAGTGGCTCACCCCTATTTATAATTTTTTTATTATTTTTTAAGATAAAAAAAACGAGATTTGCTATGTTAGTATATGACATAAATTAGGATTGATTGAAGTTTTCAATTGTTTTTGGTCACTTCCTGTTTCACCGGAAATAACTACAACTTTTGATTTTTAAATGGCACCCTCGGTATTTTTTTTACTTTATTCGATAGAAAATGACACTCTGAATAGAATGACATATCGTTGACATACGATTGACATTTTTGACATTTAAGCATATGGTTTATTTGAAATTGTAACATGCTGTTCATAACGACGAAGTGTGTGGTACCAAATTATTTGTAAATACCAAGTGTGTGGTACCAAATTATTCGTAAAAAAATGTTTTTTTCCAAATATGCTAATGAGCCACCCTTGTTCCGTTTAAAAAAATTGAGATACGATTTGGGCATCTTTTAACCTTTTAACTTCTTCTCTTTTAACCAGGACAAGAAATGAAAAACATTAGACGATCAAATCTATTTTTCCAAGGCTCCTTGATTAAAAATTAGTGTTTTTTGAAACGTGCGATTTTCAAACGTCATAAAAGTATTAATTTTTGCGACCGTAATTGAGAATATATAAACGTTATTTAACGCCTATAGGCATAAAAGTGTAGCACTTTTACGCCCAAGCACAAAAGTACGAAAATATATTACTAAACTGACATAAAGTGTCAAATTCAATGAGCGTAACCATAGTTTCTCGATAAATAACTACTTACAAGGTTTTACTTTTAAATATATCTATATATTTTGCAACGTTTGAAATTGCTTAAAACATTATTTGCGACATTTGAAAAAAATACCAAATGTTCTATGCGGAGTAAAAATTACTTTTTGTGCCTCGCCTGTAATATCAAACGTACAGCCTCGCCACAAAAAGTCTCAATTTTACTGTTAATAAAACTATATACTATTCTGAATAAAAAATAAAGTTTTTTTCTGTTTTTGGTCTCATAGACTAATGTTAGTACAAAAATCATGTTAGTATTAGAGAGTTAACTACAATATCAACAACAACTAATAATAAACTATTCTAAATGCATTCACACTAATCATCTAACTCTAATAATAACCTAGTATCAGTGCAAGAAAATTTATGATAGAAATATGTTGGTGCCAGTGCTCTAAGAAAACGCAAAATAAAATTAGATAATACAACATAATATACAGAAATTTAGAAACACGCATATTTGGTAAATGTAGCGTGTCACGTAGGTTTTCCGTTGGTTATACATTATTTTGCGTTTTTCACAAGCCTACTGAGATAGTAAAAGATAAGAATTTTAAGAATAATCCAGGTTTGGAAAGAATCAAAACAAACAAAATGTTATTCACCTGATTCTGGTGATCTTCGCTTATTTCTGTTACAGTTTTTCCAGATGCACTAGGGGGGCGAATTCTAAAATACCAAGAAATAAAAAAAATACATTAGATAAAAATAATACCAAAAACTGTTGTATAAAAAAACATGTGTTCGTCATTATTGGGAAGAGTATTTAATACTACTTTAAGAAAATGCTAGAACAGAATGAACAATTAAGGGATCTATTTCGCAAGTAATTATTTTCTAGTCATAATAAAACCACAGATAAAACCAAAATCTGTAAAAGAAATAAAAGAAATGTGGGAACATTAGTAGGTAGTTTACACCAAACTTAACATTTTTTAAATGGAATTCTGTATTTTTAATGTTTAATTTAATTTCTGTTTTTGAGGCGTCATAACTCGGGCTCTATATGAGCCAGGGAGCTGAAACTCGGAATGTAGATGGGGCTTAAAGAGCCCCATCTTTTCGTGATATTTTGACGACGCGACGTTTCCTGAACTACAAAACTCCATCGTCAATGATGAAAAAATCGTCCGATTTTAATAAAATTTGATATTTCGATAGATTGGACCAAGGCCAACTTGACCGTGTACGACACGTGTTACTGTGACGGTTAGTTTTGAAGTAAGAAACGTCAAAAGTTGATGTCGTCCGATCACGACCAAATTTAGTGGGTAGGCTATGTGAACGACGGTGCACACGGTCCCACCCTGCAAGTTAGATATGACGTTTCGTTTACATCTTTATCAGGGTGGGACTAAGGATTTGATATTGAAGAAAATTGTGAGTCCATTTCGGCATAATTGGGGATGGGCTACCGCATACCGCCCTCGACGCGACGTCTCGAACCGATGCCTCTAAACGGACGAAATTTTCAAGATTTTTCTCAATTATGGGTGGGCTGAAACCAAACTCGGCACGTATAGAGGTATCCAGTTGGAGTCCTCAGACGGACAGACGGTCATTTTAATACAAATTTTGTAAAAGTGAAGTAAATTATTTATAATTTTTAATTTGTTACTTTTTCAACATTTCAAACCTCAATTTTTCAAACATATCCTTCAAATTCTTTAATTTAGTAGCTGTTAGTAAGAAGTTTCACTTCAAAAATGCGCACATAGTGCACACACAATTTTTTTACAGTTGATTTAACATAAAACTCCCAAACCAAAACTGCTTTATAATCTATACCGAGTCTACACAATTTTTTGTGGCAGATCAATGGCGCATCTTGAAACTGAGTCTGAGAGGAGTAGCGGCAATATTAAATATAATTAGTTGTGACGAGGGCAACTAGTGAAAAAGAGAAGTTTATGATTTTTTAAGAGCGTACCAAAAATGTAATCCAAAAATTGTTCATATTTAAAAAAACGGTAGCTTACTAAAATGCCGTTAATAGGTATGACGTCGTTGATGTAACGCACTTGACGGCTTTATGAAATATAGGAATTTTATAAGGACTAACCAACGCTATCCATCCCACCAAATAACCAACTTAACCAACGCAACTAACCTCGACACCGGCAAAAAAATATAAAAAACAAATATAAATTAGTAAAAACCAACCAACCCCACCAATGAATTAACACACTCCAAATAACCACGCTAACCAACCCGCCGAATAACGAAACCAATCCAACCAAAAAGAGTGAAACCAACAACCAAAAGGAGTGAAACCAATGCAATAAGATCATGCTATAAGCAAAAAAAAATTAAAAAAGTCTTGGTCGACGGAGATTTGAATCACGGACCATTCGTTCACTAAGCGATAGCCTCAGCCACGGAGCCACAGGTGCTCTTGCAAAATGACTATAGCTAGGCATTACTTTCCGCCGACATCAACGACGTCACAATATCTATTAACGGCATTTTAGTAGGCTACCTTTTAACGGCTGTTTAATTATATCGGTAAAAAAACTCTCTGCATAAATAACTAACGACTTAGATTATCACGTTGTGGCGATTTTTGAATGCAAATTTTATTTCAAATTCGCTAGGCAAAAAAATTATAATGTTTAAAAAAAAAATGTTATAACTCTTAAAATTATATCTATTTACTGCTTACTATTCTACAATTATCCGTATATGTACTTTTTGCAATTATAATGACTTAAATTTTTTTGAATTGTATGATTTGTATTGTTTATTTTTTGTTGTTTGTATATATTTTTTTTGTGCTTTTGTTTGTTTTGTGATTGCCTTGTCGATGAAGCTGTTTCGGCTTTTTGCACAATAAAGCGTTGTTTGTTGTTGTTTGTATACTAAAGTTAGTGTAGGTTTACATGTATCCGTCATGCGTCATCTGTCGTTGATTTTAAGATATATTTAATATGATTCGAGTGACGTAACGACGGACGACGTATGACGGATGCGTGTAACCCCACACTTAGGCTAAAACATGAATTCACATTCATTTAGTGTAAAAATAGCCTGTAAATGTAAATGTTACCATTTAAAGTAATTTTCGCATTTGGGTTATGGTGTTGTCTCATGAGATCATTATCATTACTTTTAAAAGTTGGTTACGATTTTGCTATCGTAGTTTCCTATATCAACTACGATATCCCATTGAATGCCGCAATAAGACTTTCTTATACAGGGTGTTCCAGAAATAAGTGCAAGTATTTTAAGGGGTGGTAGATCTCGATAAAATAAACATATTTTTTCCAAAAGTCCAAAATAACGGAGTTATTTTACTTTGAAAATTTCCAAAAAAATGATTTTTTGCCAAAATTTTGAGAACCACTGGATCTTTTCTGGATTTTCTTTCTTTTAAATTTAATCTAATACCTATGTTGCCATATTATCAAGAAATTATGTTTTTTAACTAAAAACATTTCCAAAAAAAATTTTCAAAAAATTTCGAATTCTCAAAAAAAAATTTCGCGAAAAAAACCTCATAGGCGTGTATCAGTTAAAATACTTGCACTTATTTCTGGGACACCCTGTATAGCAACAATTAAACGACTATTTTGTTTTTAATATAAAAAAAAATAATAAAGTAGACATGTATGGTTTATAAATGAAAATTTGATATTTGTTTTTTACGATACTTTAGATAAATAAATCTTAAAAAAATTGGGCAGTTTCAATCAAACTCAGTTTACTTACTTACTTTAATATAAAAAAATAACTTTTCTATCGAATTAATAATTTTCCTTGTTTTGTATAGTCAGTTTTTGTAAAGTCGTTAAATATGAAATAATTAAAATTAACAGTTAAAAATCACGAATTACCAGTATCCCAGTTGGACGAGTCCATTTTGTGCATTAGATACAGGGTAATCCAATGCTGCCCATGTTAATCTTATGCTTTTATGCAAATTTTAATATTTTGACTGTAAGGTTTGTAGGAATGGACTACTTTGCTATCGCACATCTAAATAAATAGCAGATAGCAGAATGACGCCTCGCAGCGGATCGCTCTATCATTCACGTTTTAGCCAGTCACAGGTTATTTTTAAAATGTTAGCATTGCTATTGCTTAACATTTATGTCACTGTAAAAATATCACAGCTAGTAATTTTACGCCCATCTTTGATATTTATAAATACACTTTTGAACTGTATGCTACTAGAATATATAGAGATAAGCAAACTGCGATTCAATCGCCCCTATATCCTTTTTTATTTTTCCTGATAAAAAAAACGAGATTTGGTATGTTAGCATATGAGATAAATTAGTACTGATTGACGGTTTCTGGTGTTTCCCCATTTTCCCTACAGAATCTGCATTAGCCGTTGTTTCTCAGCTTCAGCAAACTGAGGTGTTCGTTGAGGAGACAGTGTCCTGGTACACCATGACAATCCGAAGATTGTTTTTACTTAAATCAAGAAAAATCTTTGATTCTTCTCGGTCGTAAGTTCTGAGTAAGTTTTTTGAGTGTCTTAGACCGCTGGAGGACACCCATTCCATGTTACGGATGGAGTCTTCCAGAATCTTCAATTCCGCTTCCGAATAGAATGGCATATCATACGTCAACTTTTGACATTTACGCCTAAAAATCGTATTTTAAATTTCAATCTAGAGTGCCATGGGCTGTGTTAAAAACACTAATTTTTAATCAAGGATCCTCGGAAAAAATATTTAATTGTCTATTGTTCTTCGTGTGTTGTCCTGGCCGATTAAAAGATGCACAAATCCTATTTTTAATCATATCTCAATGTTTTCAAATGGAACGAGGGTGGCTCATTAGCATATTGAGAAAAACCATTTTTTACGAACAATTTGGTGCCACACATCTGGTATTTCGAGTCAAATTGTCGTTATAAACCGCATGTTACAATTTTCAGTTAAACCATATGCGAAAATGTCAAAAGTTGATATATGATATGTCATACTATTCAGAGTATAATTTTCTATCAAATGAAGTAATAAAAATACCGAGGGTGTCATTAAAAAATCCAAAAGTTATAGTTATTTACGGTGAAACAGGATTGAATACAAATCAATTGAATACGTCTATCAATTCTGATTTTTGTCATATTCTAACGTACCAAATCTCGTTTCTTTATCTGAAAAGATAAAAAAGTTATAGAGGTGAGCCACTTTAAAAAAAATAGTTCTTTAAGATCTTTTAAGAATTGGATAAAGAATTAGATAACTGAGTGTTTGACCAGCGGATCTGAAGCTACGGAAGGAATGCGAGAAAAAAAAATCGATATTGCCACGTTTATCTACAAAATTGCAAAATTGCCAGACATGAACTATAAATTTAATATATTTTTATTATATAATATAATGTATTTAGCATATATTCTGACGTATATTACTAAGGAATGTTAACGTAGTTCATATTGTTCGATATGTTTTATTTAATAACTTATTTCTCTTTCATTCTGTATAATCTGCTTATTATGAACGGTGAAGATTTTTCGGCAAACCGGCATTGCCGCGCATGGCCGCCTATTCATTAAACATGATTGGCGAGAGTACGTCACAGGATTTGTTACCACGCGGTTGCCATGGCTTTTACGCTTTTCCTATTCGCTAGGTTTATCCCCAACTTCATGGGCTTTTCTGAAAAGAGTAGAAATATTGAATACTATTGAAATATCCAGTGGCGGTGTCATTCTTTTGATCATGATTACTTTCTTTCGTTATTTTATACCGGTTATCCTAAACTTTATTCCTATATTTTTCGTATATTTAATAGTTAAGTTGTGTTTTATTGTTTTGTTATCTTGTTATAATGTTTTTCGTTCGTAGTTTTTAATTGTTAATATTAAGTTTGATCGTATAGTTGTGTTTTAAAATGAATAAATTTGTTAAGGGTAAGGCGCTACATAGCCAGACAAGAGAAATAATAGCTAATTTATATAGGTAAGTATAATAATAATAATATAATTATTAGAATATTAAAACTAAATATTGGCTAAAATGAAAAGCACACATTTTACCTAAATATTTTTTTAGCTAAACTAAAATAAATATAAATAAACGTGGATGAAATTTCATTTGGTTTATTTTCTTGTGTTCATAATAGGGTTTGCGACGAAGAAGCTACAGAGAGTTCGCTTAAGTTGCCGCTTAAATGTAAACTTGAGCGGATATCTCTTTATACCGGAGTATAAAAAAAATCACGCAGAAATTAAAAAAAGGCTGGAAACTAACCCCAATAAAATGATATCCAGCCCTGAAAAGAAACGACCACGTGATAGTGCTGCTGAAAAGCTAGACGACTTTGATTTCCAAGTGGTCAGGAATTTGATAACTAGATTTTATCTCGAATTCAAAGTCGTCCCCACAATTAGAAAGCTTTTGCAAAAATTGCAGGAAGAATCGAATTTTTCTTTGGCAGGGAAACGCTTAGGGGGTTATTAAAATCAAATAGATTTTTTTGGCGTAAATGTCAAAATAACAGATAATATTAATGGAGCGGCCCATTATATAGCAGAGAGAGATATAAATATATACGCGAAATTCGAAAATATCGCCTAGTATTATCTATTTGGATGAAACATAGGTAGACAATGACCTAACCCTTAAAAAGTACTGGCGGAGCGATACTATATCTGGTGTAATAGGCAATATTGGATCTACTAGTGAGTAAAATTATGTTTTGTTTCGCTTACAAAGTTAACTATTTTCAAGATTTTTTTTGCTGTAAATAAATAGTTATATCTAAAATTATGTATTATAGAAAAAAAATATAGTTAGTACACAGTACAGATATATAAATAAAATATACCTCAAGACTCAGACTTGATCATCTGCTGATGATGCTAACATGGTTAGCGAAACGTGCGTCCAGTGTGAAAGTAAAAGTGTTTTGGTGTATTGTGCTGATTTAGTGTTTTATTTTGCTGTGTAACACCAAAGGTTCCAACCCCCAGCTGTAATTCTTTCTTCTATTATATTAACAACACATAATAAAATGATTCAAAATATTTAAGAGAGCTTTAATAAAAGCTTTTAGTGTGTTTATCTGCTAACTCAACAGTAACGATTCAAACAGCATAAAGTTTTTTGAAAAAAAATATTAATCTGAATATTATATTTATGATACACATTATTTTCATAAAACACCGTACGCCCATGACTATTTTATGAATGACATTGGGCGTGTTTTGTTTACAACTGCGTTCCCCTGACGATACCCCGTAGCTTCAGAGCCGTTGGTCACACTATACGTGTAGTTGCAGCAGTTGCAGCATTTTATAAAATTTTAATACCTATACTATGTGTTGCAGACGTTAAAAAAACTAAAAAACTAAACAACTGCTTTTTATTAACTTTTTTAACTGTTAAGGCAATTACACAATATTAAAATAGCAATCGCGGGTTACAGTGGCAGCGATTTAAAAATCGCAATCGCAGTTTTAATTACGCTTGGAGAATCGCAGTTTTGCTCATCTCTACTAAAATCTGTCATATTTTATAAAAGAAGGTTGGAGTGAAAATCTCAATAAATTTGGAAAGACAGAGTAGAGTCTCTTTGTAAACACAAACATAAATTGTTAAAACAATTCTTAATCCGTATTCCTCACCTCGGGATCTGTTTATCTCCAAATCCCATTCCTAGTCCCGAATCTTCGCTGGGAGACCGATAATCGTCCTCCTTGTAAACTCCTGTAGGAAGGTCTGTTGGACAGTAGTCCTAAAAGGATTACTTTTTCAATTTTCAGCAAAAATATTTACTAGTCTGAAGTAAAAGTATACTCTTTTACAAAATAAAATAATGATATTTAATATTATATTCTTAGTATCAATTATTATAAACTGGCATTAGTATATACATACATTTGATCGTATCAGATTAGTAAATTATTTTTATTTAGAAAATCGTTACATAATGCTGTCAATAAAATTAAAACTGTATTAAATTAATGTATTTGAACATTTCTATACATGTCTAATTTGTTTCAAAGTAATATTTACAGAGAATGTTTAAATTGTGTCACTGAATGTATTCCTACGAATACTAAGCTCAAACGAGGCTTAGTCAGATAATATTACGTATGGAAGTGTATATAGCATCAAGCACCACATATGTCTATCAGAAAAGCTAATCACACATCTAAGTTATTTGGAAGAAGACTTACCTCGTGAAAACCCGAATAAGTTGAATGGTTAGCTTCTGGAATAGGTATGCCCCCTTTTCTCTATAAAAAAAACAACAATAATTAATATATCTTGATATATTTTTATACCGTGCTGGCAACTCTTACTTTTGGATCGGTATTTACATGGGTTAGGTTGTAACTGATTAAGTCGGAGTGAGAGAAACGCGACAGTGTGCTGTTGCGACGTTGTTACATTTTACGGTACACCGGTACGCCTTTCCATATCAAGTAAAGTAAAATCACGATCGCAAACCGCTTATTTTTGGAAAACTTTTTTCGAAAAAATAACTGAAATGGAATTATAAGAATATCGTTAGGGTATCCATTTTTTTTATAACCAGAAAACGTCAGTAATCGAGATAATTTAAAAACTCAACTTTTTAATATATAGCACGCGATAACTCAAGAACTACTTTAGATATTGAAACTTCTTTTTTTGAAGTTCGGTCTTTTTACAAGATGTTTAGATAAGAAAAATTCGATAGGCTTGTTTTTTTCCATTCAAAAATTTTTAAAAACCCATCCGTTTTAGTGCATTGCAATTTTCAGCAATCTTGTAACTTTTTTATTTATAAATATTTTCAGATACTGCCTGCGAAGAAAATATAGCAGAAATATTAAGAAAGTTCTTGAAAAAACTACAATCAATTATTTCTAATGGATTTCCAGATATCGATCTTTGTATTTAGAGTTATAAAGCGCGACCACTGTCAAACACCAACTCAATTCCCCTTATTTTTACCAAAAATGCAAGTGTTTCAAATTTGCACTTAAAAATTTACAAGCTATAGGGAAAATTATAACTACTCGTTAATAAATAAAAAAATAAAGGATCACGAGACGTAATTAAAACGAGAATCTGAACGCATGATATACAGGGTGGGTCAAATTCGACGCTTTTAAATGGAAACACCCATTTCTATAGGAGATAGGCGAAAACTATTATCGGTGTCTGGAGCTCAATTTTTATCAAAAACATGATGGTGAAAACCGCACATCAATATCTGTTATCTATCGTATCCGTTTCGGAGTTACGGGGTGTTTTTCAAAAATGTGAATTTTTAATAAATTGCTGTAATTGTGTAAAATAAAAACTTTTTTGCTATGGAAAATTTTATATTTTCATGAAAACATTTCCAAAGCACCTTTTTACGTAGAATTTAATGGTTTAAGTATGATATTTTTAAAATTAATAATTTAAGAGTTATCAACAGAAAAATTGATTTTTTATTTGCGACACCCTCTATATTTTTAATTAACTGAAAAGAATTTAAAATTACCTTTCCAAAAATAGAGCACACTTGATATTTTGTTATAATCCCCTTCGAAATACAGAATTTTTAAAAGTTCGCCACTTTTAACTAGTAGGCTTTGGACCCCTTATTGATGATATTCCCTTAATGGAAATCGAAAACATATTTTTCCAGCAAGACGACGCACCGCCCCTGAACGCTGAAGTTATCAGCAAATTTTTGCAGCCAATTTCAAGAATATTTGAATAGCTAACCAATATCCCAGCCGTTGGCCATCGAGGCCGTCTGACTTAGTGCCCATGGATCTAATCCTATGGATATGTTTGCGGAAGAATAAAGGTTCCTTATTCTTCCGTATAATCTAGACAAGAATTAGAAATATTTAGCAGTTATGAGAGGGTATCTTTCGCCCCCTCTGAGTTAATGAATTCCGCGAGAAATGTTCAAAAACTGCCCCGTTTGTCCATAGCAGAAGACGGTCGATATGTCGAACACTTGTAGCAAAATCTCATGTCTTAGTTTGCTATTTATTTTTATTGTTATTAGATATAGTTTAAATGTGTTGATGTTGGTTAAATATATTTTAAATTGTTATAAAATTCTGCATCTCTCATAGCAAATATTATTTTCGTTTTAATTGATGCTCACAGCTAGATTTTTTTTTGCATTACAGCCGGTGCCGTTCAAAGCCTACTATTTAAAGCGGGCGAATTTTTATATACTCTATAACTCGAAGAGGAATCGAGCAAAATATCAAGTGTGTTATATTTTTGGAAAGGTAATTTTAAATTATTTTCAATAAATTAAAAATATACAGGGTGTCCCATATAAAGAATCAAATTTTCTGTTGATAATTCTTAAATTATTAATTTAAAAAAAAATATACTTAAACCATTAAATTTTACGTAAAACGGTGCTTTGGAAATGTTTTCATAGAAATACAAAATTTTCCATAGGAAAAAAGTTACAGCGATTTGTTAAAAATGCATATTTTTGAAAAACACCCCGTAACTCCGAAACGGTAACAGATATCGATATGCGGTTTTCACCATCATGTTTTTTACAAATATTGAGCTCCAGACACCGATATTAGTTTTTGTCTATCTCCTATAGAAAAGGGTGTTTCCATTTAAAAGTGTCGAATTTGACCCACCCTGTACACTCTTTCCTAGAATTTTAAGTACTGAGGTATTGTTTGGGTCGACCGCTCGACTGCGACCGAATCTGCTATATTCCCTTCCACGTCTCTTAGCAATGTGCACAGTTTCTCGGGTTTTCAACCCAAAGCTAACCTTTGCCACACCTTAATATATCATATATCATATACTTCATGATAAAAAAACAACCTCATGTTATCTAAGATTGTGCGTATATTAAATATATGTATATATATTTTAATTAAAATTCAGGATGAGGTGTCGAACTAAAGGTCAACAATGTCAAGACTGTTACAAGCGCAGATTTGAAGTTACCATTGTGATGCGACAAAGAGTTATTAGTTTCCCCCTCCCCTTGACTGACTAATAGTTACTTATTATTCCAGCAGTGGGATTCTGTAAGCTCCGTAGCAAAAAAATTCATGTCTAGCCTATGCTATTTGTATACGATTGATGAGTGACTAGACAGGAAATATGTTTACAGAATCGCTAGCCAGATATCCTTAGTTAAAGTAGGTTCATATACACACAAATTGAGAATTGCGAATATCGTTGTTAGAAACAACGATGTAATTTTACAATCCAACGTTATGGAATAAACTGAAAAGGTATGAAAAAATTGTGCTTAATCATTATTAGGTACTTATTTTTTTGCAGTCTAATTTAATTTTTTTTTAACTTGCAGTACGTAAGTTCAATATTTTGACTGCAAACTGGTAATGTTGGAAAATTTTCAAAACCAATGACAATCGAAATCCTTTTTCAAAACCAATGACAATCGAAACTACCATATTCTATGGTAGTTTCATAATAATAATTTGTTCATGATATGGAGGGTTCAGTCTCTAAATTGCTAAACTTTTTGAAAAGGATAGGGGGACAGAATTGAAGCTAAGGAAGGATCAGAGGAGGACCGCAATAATAGGTCTTAAAAGGTCGCAGTGGGGAACAGGCCGATAGTCACCTCAAATAATCTTTTCTAATCTAAGCTTAGCTTTAGCTATAGCTATAATTTTTTTAACTATTAGCTGTCGACGTTGACAACATCATTTAGTAAGCCAACGTCGACACCATAGTTCACGCGTCAACAATTAAATTGTAGTCGTCACTCTGATTAAGATTTACTGCTTCATCTATCTAATCTTTTTCCTTTTTTTGCTAGCAATATACCAGCGTGACGAGCCGCCCCTGAAACAAACGTACTCAATTCAACGCACTACTAGCGATCTCAATATAACATTCGAAATGGTTCGGTCCGACACACCTGTTGTTTCTAGAAACGACCCCATGAAATTTTACTATGGCGTCAGTGCATTTTCCAATATGTCGAGCTTGTAAAAGTGCCAAGCTAGAGAAATAAATCAAAAGACTCGCTCGCTCCCCATCTTTTCGTTGGAATGTACTATGTAGAATCGATTTCTTTTAGTTTCGTGACGTCTAAGAAATTGCTTTATGGAAGGAAAGGTTGTGCATTTTTACTGCCGAAGTGATTTTTAGCACGACAATTTAGTTGTATCTATATTTATAATTAGAATCATTTATTCAAACAATATCTGACCTGTGTAGTTTGTAATATGTAAAATCTACTGATAGTATTTGGTATAAAAAGCTAAAAGGTAAGCTAAAATAAAGTATAGTAAATTAATAGAATTAAGTCTAAAATCAAGTATTGCAGTTCACTACATAAAATGGCCGAAACCCTGGGTTGTCCACAAGGAACCTCATTGGAACAAACGTAAATGTTAAGAGGCTGTATTCATCTAGCAATAATAACAACTTTAGTCATCCAAGTATGGAAATTTCAACAATATTGCAATCATTCACACAGATTTTCTGTCGAGAGTTAAATAAGTATATTTATTTAACTCTAGTTATTTAAGCGGACTACATACGTTCACACGTTAGTTGACTCAACAGTTGCACCAAAAAAATTGGATATTGCCTCCACATTACCCGATTTTGCAATAAATATATCAGTAATCAACCACGAGAACAAGCAGGCTTTAGAAGCGGCTTCTCAGCAAGATTGATCATATACATACACTAAGAGAAACTATTAGCCGAACAATAGAATACAAACTAACACTAGTCATAGCCTTTATAAAGTTTGAGAAGGTTTTCAACTTGTTATATCCTAAGGCAATTACAAAATCCCTAGCAAAACAAGCGCAAATATATCAAAGAAACTAAAGCAAGAGTAATGATGTATTATACAGCCCCAGAGTTAGCAAAGGAGTACGACAGGGAGACTCGATATCCCCAAAGCTATTTACAGCAACACAAGAAGAAATCTTCCGTCAACAGGACTGGGCCAACAAAGGACTAAAAATAGAATGAAAATATCTTAACCATCTCAGATTAGCTGATGACATCGTTCTAATTGCCAATAGTCTTGAAGAACTACAAGCACAAATTAACGAATTAAATGCAACCCACACTATCGTTAGTTTTACATAGTGATGGGAATACCGGTTCCACATTAGTCGCGTTACACTAGCGACCTTTCGAGAGAAATACCGCGACAAAATACCGCGATTTTGTAGCCGAGACTCCGGTCGCTGTTCCCGTCTATGAGGTATTTTTGGTCACTGTACCTTCCTACTCGTCTCACTGCCGTTATTTCTATGTC